GTTTTTGCATTTTGGTGAAGGTTAGTCCGAGGCAACTTCTTCCCAAAATTATTTTATGATATTTTAAGATTTTTCATGAAGAGAAACCGAGCCATGCATGTCATTATATATGATTTACGAATTTTTGAATTAAATGGCCTTAAAAATAAAATTTTAGTTGCATGCATGCCAAAGTCGAAAATGTTGGTTAAATCACCCTTAAATATCATACCATTGATGCTGTAAAAATTTGAGAATAAATGGAGTTCATTGCCTTGGTCAATTCATTCATGAAAATACGCTATTTTGGCCACCCGAGGCCCATCCTCATGCATGCATGTTATGACCTAAGTGTTAGCCACTATAGTCATCATTTGTGATGTATAACATTCGGCCCTGAGTAGTTTTGTAAGTTATGAATGTTCGTTCGGACGTAAGTTGCTCGTACGTGCCATTTAGGCCCTCCCGAGTGTCATGCATGTGGACCCGGGGTCCACTAGTGTTTTATGTGATATTTGTGCTTATTTTACCATATCATGATGTTTGGAGTTGCATGTCACCGGAAAAGTCGCCGGAGGTCCGGCAAGGGCCGGCCTTGGTCACTGGCCGCGCACGTAGTGCGGTAGTGCCCGGCCCCAGTGCCTGTCCGTGCCTGCAGAGGGTAGCCTTAGCCAGTGCCCGCGCCCGGTAAGCGCGAGGCACAGCCCGCGTGCACGCAACAGCGCCCGCAGCGCCCAGTGCGTGCCCGTGTGCCAAGCATAAGCCCCAGTAGCCCCAGCACGCGTGGCCATGGCACCCAGCGTGCCCAGCCATGCGCACGACGCCCGGCAGCGTCCGTGCCAAGCCCAGCGCACGAGGTCTCGTGCCAGAGCCTCGTGCCAAGTCCAGGGCTGACCCGAGCAGGGTCAGCTGAGCCCAGTCGGCCTCGGGGCGTGTCCAGCAGCACGCCCGAGAGCCCAGTGACCTCGGGGACGGCCAGTAGCGCCCGTGTGGCCTCTGCCCGTGTCTGTCCCGCGTCTGCCCTAGCCCAGCCGGCCCGGGACGTGCCCAGCAGCACGCCCGCGTGCCCAGAACCCTCCAGGGCGCCCGGCAGCGCCCGCGTAGCCCCTGACCAGTGCCAGTCCGCGCCGTACCGTGCCCAGTGCACGCCAGCGCGCCCCAGCAACCCTCAGTCCGTGCCCAGCCGCACGACAGGGCTTCAGCCAAGCCTCGGCCGTGCCCAGCGCGCACCCGAGGGGCACCAGTCGTGCCCGGGCCGTGCCAGCAGCCCCTGGCCGTGCCCACCAGCGCCAGTCCGCGCCAAGACATGTCCAGCGGCCCCAGGGACCGAGCCCGGTCGCACCAGCCGTGCCCAGCGCCGTGCCCGGGCACCAGCTGGCCCGGCACGGGACCGAGCCCGGTCTAGCCGAACCCAGCCCGACCGCCCGGCCCAGTCGAGCCGGCGGTCCGGCCAGCCAGCGAACCGGCCGGTTCGACCGGCGGTTCGAGTCAGTTTTGACTCGTGATTTCTGATCCGAGTCCAGTTCCGGAAATTTCAGTATTTTTCCGAGCCAGTCCAGTCCAGTTTAATCGCGTAGATAAGTCCGAGCATTTTAGCATATAATTAAATATTCTGAGCATTATACTTAGCATTATTTTGCTTAAATATTTATGTAGCCTAAGGAGAGTCGAGCCTCCGACCGCTACTCCAGCTTCCGCACTTGCATACCAGATTTCAAGTTTTTCAGGTGGGGGTCATGTACTGGATTTCACATCATAGATAATATCTGTACCATGGCAGAGGTATGTTTGAGACAGTTTAGTTCCGGGTTGGGTGGCCGAGGCCTTTATACCCACCTGATGACCGTTGGGAGGGGCGAGGCCCTTTCTACCCCATCGGCGTGTGCACACGAGCGGCTACGGCCGAGGGTCTTTTGACCACAGATCAGAACAGACATCAGAGATCAGTTTACAGTTTCAGCTCTTATATATTTATGTTTCATGATACGTTATTATAGATGATGTTTTGTTCAGTACTGGTCTTTGCGGAGCATAGTGGTTTGCTCACGCCCCCATTGTGTTTTTCAGGAGACGGAGTCGAGCGTGCCGGATGAGCACAGATGTGGCGCAGCGTGGTCATGAGAGTCGGACATATTTTACCAGCATTTTTATGTCCTAGATTTATGATCATGTGTATTTTATTCAGTTTATGTACGCATGTTATGTATTCGTATTTCGGATGCTTCCGCCAGCGAGTTTTTCTAGACAGTGCGAGATAGTACAGACTATGCATGTATAATTCCATAATCCGCGAGCGGACAGTCTGGTTGCATGTTTTTATTATGTCTGCGGGCAAGCCCGAGTTCAGTTTAAGTTTTTATCTGCCACATCCCGCAATAAGTCAGTATTTTCGAAAACCCAGCTCGCACGTTCTTTCGAAAATAAAAACAAAAATTTTACTCTGATTTTTAAAAGCTAGTAGTAAGGCGGGGTGTGACACTGTTTGAGAAGAATTGGACCCCAGAACACATAATAGCTAGAAAGGCTCAAGATGAATGGGTAGAATTTTCAGAAACAGTGGAGAGGAATGGGTCCTTTGGTAGTGAAGACCATAACCATGGGAGCAGTCTGTCTGTAGTTGGGGTGGAAGATATTCAGGCTGGAGTAGGGCAGGCTTATATAGCTGTCAGTGCTCTATCTAACACCTTGGGATGGCTAGGCTGCGGAGGAGTGATGATCAAGGAAGGTGAGCTGGTTGATAAATGGTCAGAGGCTAAGGCTTTTGCAGGTTCTAAGCAAGAAGGTAGATTGATGGCAATTAGATGGGCAATGGAAAAAACTGTGGAGAATAATGTTGAAGATTTCATTTGTCTGGTGGATGATAAAGACCTTGTCTTCAAACTGAACAACAAGAATGCCTTCAATTGCCATTATGATATCATTGTTGTTGACATTTATGACTTAGTTTCTAGGCTTATTTCTTGCAAATTTGTCGTCGATTGTAATTGGGTTTCTGAATGTGTGGACTTAGCCAAGATGGCTTTAGAGGGAAAGCTAAATGCTGCCTCCCGTGATGATGGTGCCTTAGTTGTTTAGGGTATGATTGTCTGTAGTCATTTGACTAAACTTTATGTACATTGTTTGAGTTCTTCTATTATATTCAGGTTAACTTTGAAAAAAAAAAAGGATAGTGATTTGGTTATCACATTTCTTATACAAGCATACATATTCATATGATGAAGTCTAAAATTTTCGAAAATAAACTATTTTTATTAATCTATGCCAATATTTTCTTTATCTAATTTGATTAGAAGTTATTGAATCTGATTAGCTTATAATAATATCCAATTGATATCAATTTATAAAATATTTTTTTCAATTTAATTACAAAGTTTACATATGGAATCTGGAATCTGATTTATTAATTATTTCTAAACTTTATAATCTCAATCGAGTAACGTAAACACGTTCAAATTTACAAAATCAGCATTAGCCACTAGAAAACCTTGCAATAGATTAATGTAGATAAAATTACCATTATATATATTAATTTCAAATTAATTCCAACAAGTCGGGTATTCTACAAATATTGTTATAAAATAAACAAATTTAAAATAGTGCTGGCGAGATTTTAAGTGTTAAAATACTACATTTTTTCAAAAAGCATCTATACATATATCTATATATATCTATATATATATATATATATATATATGTATGCAGGGGCTGGTTCAAATAAAAACTAAGTCTGCTGTGAGAACCGTGAGAACCATATTTGATGCTATTTTTAATTGTGTATGATGTTATTTTTAATATTGTATGGTGCTATCATTTTCATAAATGCTAATAAAAATTTTATTACTATTTTTAATCAAATACATCCTAGTTAAAAATAGCACTAAAATACAATTAATTATAACACTACATACAATTAAAAATAGCGGTTCTTATGGTTCTCACGGACTTGGTTCTCATTTGAACCACATCCTATGTATGTATATATTTTCATATTAAAAAATAAGAAAAATAAATTTGCACCATTTATATCTATTTAAAAAATATAAGCTAACAATGTACACACATATACACATTTTCACTCAAAATTAGTATATATCATACTTCAACATAACAATCTAATAGTGTAAATACAATTCTGATTCCAAGCATCTCGAACCCTCCTCAACTTGCACTCCACTCTATAAATACCAAAGACTAAACAAGTAACACATCAATTAAACCAGAAAAAAAAAAGAAAGAAAAGAAAAAGGTTGTGATGAACAAGAACATGAATTAGCTTTTCTAAGCCTTTTCATTCTATCCGTCCTACATTGTCCATTCGCTTCCGTCTCCGATTAATTTGATAGATCATATACAGTTAAAAAAATTATAACTTTTAAAAACAAGAACACATTTTTATAGTAATTAATATATTAATCAAATAAGAAAATAAAATAGTACATGATATTTTAAGAAACAAAAAACTAAATAGTTTATAGTAATTCACACTCATAATTGTCAAAACAAAAACTATAAATGTGTATGTGTCAATACGAAACACGAATTTTCGCCAAATAAGTATGCAAAGCATATTAGCTTGCCACTCGGACTAGACACGTTTTGAATTAATATATAAGGTAATTAAAATTTTTTATTTAAATTATAAAAATCTGTAATTAAATTGGTAAATTAAGATAATTAATTAAAAGAAAATCTTATGTCAACAGGGGACAATGATGATTTTGATCTCATTGTCTGAAGGAACGTTTAAATATGTCACATCTACATCTTTGTTCTTGCATATAAAAAGTTTTTGTTTTAATAAGATTTTTTTATTTGAGTTGGTTAAATTTAAAAAAATTAGTATGATTATTTCTGTCATATAACGACCCCACTTTGTATTGCAGGAGCAAGATCATTTATTGGTGAAGTACGAAAATTTTCAGATTTTGTTATTTTGTTTATACTTTTTTTTTCCCTTATAAAATGTCTCTGAATTTGTGTTATTCACTTTCTAACATTTTTTTTATAATTATCTATTCAAAATGGATCTTGCTAGATGGGGGAGAATTGGTGTAGCAGAAGTTTATCGCAGTGGGTATGATATAATTTTATATATGTACATTTTTTTAAGTCTTCAACTCGAGTGATGAGAAATATTGAAAAGATCAACTAAAGTTAACTTATGCTAGTAGACGAAATAATATTCACATTCATGGAGTAAAACCAAAATAACTTGTTATATTAATTCTCCTGCATTATAATATGATATCAGGCATTTATTTGGGTTAAAGCTTTAGCATTAGATTTATGATAATATGCAAATTTGACTTCTTAATTTAATTTTGTAGACCGGAGGCAGTTCGTTTATTACTCCAAAATTTGTGTACTACGGTGGACTGTGATAAGTTAGCTACATCATTATCTGGTATTTAAATTCATTCCTATTCTTTAATTCCAAAAGTTCCATCCTAATTGTGTGCACAATGCTTACACAATTTTTAACCATTGGATCACATACATTCATATGGGTATTTTTTAATTCAACATTGAAAAATTTGGGTATGAATATTCACCTTTAATTACATTCTTTCGTTCTTGTTTAATTTTTTTTTCATCTTTTGTTTTCCTTAAACATGATGTTGGACAAAACTTTACAGGACAAAATTGCTGCCTAAATGAAACAACTCTTGCCAAATTCGTACAGAATGGTTATCCTCAGTCCGAACCTGGTTCAATTTGCCAAAAGTCAGAGAAAATTCATTCATTCAAAATATAATAATATCACCTGCTCAACAAATCCCTATAATATTTGAAATTTTTACAGTCAAGGTAAATAAATTACTACATTGATGAAATTGGCAGATACTCGAACCGGAGTCCTGTCGAAATACGATTATGGCAATGTGTATGAGAACATGTTTTATTACAGCTCACCCGAGCCTCCGGTTTACGACCTATCCAAAATCCCGCCCGATTTTCCGCTCTTCATAAGCTATGGTGGCCAAGACGCGCTAGCTGATGTCGAGGATGTCAATATATTGCTCGAAATCCTTAAATTACTCGTTTATAAGCATATTATCGACTTTTTCAGAAAGCATAACTAGAGTTAATCGAGCTAGTTGTTGCGTTGTTTTAGTCGAAGGGTTGTTAATTGTTCAAGCTTTTATCCGGACAATTTATGACAAGGTTAAAATTACACCACTAGCTCTTATAAAAGTTTAAGATTATGTTTATTAAACCTAGTTGATAAGCTATTTTATAACTTTTAAGTGAATTTCGAGCTTATAGATAATAGCTTGTGACATAAGGCTGAAAAACAACTTATGGTAAAATTAGCTGATAAGCTAGCTGAAATAAAAATTTCAATGGGCTTATTTGAAAAGTTACTCAAAGAAGCTTATGAGATAAACTCGAGCTTTTGAAAAAGTTTTTCCTACTAAACCTAACTTATTTGAATATATGAATCTTATAAGGTAATCAAATAAACTATAAGTTAGCTTATATACTTACAAAACACAAGTTAAGTACTTTCATTGCAGAAGGAAAAAGAAAATGAAGATGATGTTACTTTATATGTGTTGGTAGTCAATTTTTAGATTATATATGTTTGTGTTTTTGCAAATTGTATATACCTATTGTGTTAGCCATATCATTATACCAAACATCATTAATTATCAATTTTAAGCAAAATTAGCTATACACTAATACATGTCTGAAACAGGGGAAAATTACGCTTAGCTTCAAAGCAAAGATTGAGTTCATGCTACATTTACCAAACCAACAATTGCTTGGCAGGCAGGCAATCATCAACAAATCTGGCACAGATGTCTTAATACGCATATATCAAGATTACAAACTTCTCAAAAATAAAGAAAGAAAAAGAAAAAAAAAAGTTTAATACTTTAGATTCAAGAAATGACTGGACCAACTAGCTAGCTCGCTTATATATATAGGTACATTTATGATCAGATGGCTCTAAAGGTAGCTATACAGAGATTGTTAATTCAGATTAATTTGCATTATTAATTAAAGGGGGGATCTGAGAACATATGGAGGTTTCAAGCAAAATCTTTCAGGTACTCGTCGTGTTTGTTATTGCTGTTGCAGCAGAGAAAGCCTTAGCAACAACTCATGTGGTTGGAGGAAGCCAAGGCTGGGACCAGTCCATCGATTTTGATTCGTGGGCATCTTCTCAGACATTCAAAGTTGGAGATGACTTGGGTAACATTTTATGTAAATTTAGGTGTGCTTGGATACGAAAAAAAAAAATCAAAAACCAATTATTATTTTTTGTAATTCAAAATCTAATTCAAATTTAACTCAACATCACTCTATCGATATTAAATAATATCAATTAATCATTCTCGCATATTACATCAACTTTAATTACTATTCATAAACTACCTATCACTTACAATCATCTCTTTCATATTTTTACATCAAATCATCTTCAATCATTTTATTTTAAATATTATTTTAATACAAACTCAAAACTCTACTCAAACTCAATCAACTTTTTTAAAAGTAACTCTGATTAACCAACAAATTCAATCAAAACCAAAACAACTCAAATCTAACTCATATCCAAGCACTACTCCCTTATATTTACTCCGACTCTATGTGCAGATTTCAAATACACGTCAATGCACAGTGTGGTCGAGCTGAAAGAAGACGCGTATAAGAAATGCGACGTTGGATCTCCATTGAACTCATTCACCGACGGTGATAGTAAAATTAAGTTGAGCAAAGCCGGAACACGGTATTTCGCGTGTAGGACCGCGGGCCACTGTGATGGAGGAATGAAGGTCAAAATCACGACTGTTGAAGCTAGCAGCACCTCCTCCTCCTCTGGCCCGTCAGCCAGTAATCCGCCATCAGCTCCGGGAGCAGCTGCTTCCACCTCAGCAGCCTACGGCGAAGCTCGATTTTTCGGTTTCTTTCGGTTGGTTGCTGCCTTGATGGTGGTGTGCTATATATAAAGAATGCAGATTTTGTGTATGGCAATTCTAACACTTTTTTTTTGTTGGTTTTGTTATGGATTGGGTTATGATTTCTTTGGTTCTTTTTGTTGCTTGTATTGTCTTTGAGTGAATAATGATCATATTACTTTATGGGTGAAAAATGAGTTAGTTAAATAAAGGCTTTCTTGTTAAGTGCTTCATTGACTTTGTATTGGAATTTCATGAACTTGATGGATTGTGATTTGTGAATAAGGGTGGCATTTGACCCATTTTTGTGAATAAGGGTGCCATTTGGCCCAACTTGACATGCAGCCTTTGAGGCGCGTTGGATTCGTCCCATTTTCAAAATGGGTCAAGTTGCATCCACGATATTTAATTGAGGGGTAGGTTTGGGTACAAGACACTGCCTAAGCCCGGCTCGAATATATAATAATATACTAAAAATATTATATATAAATTATATATATATATTATAATTTTAGTAATATATTTATAATATTATATATAAATTATAATATATCTAGTGATTTTTTTTAGAAAAAACTTAAATATTGGGGTGGGACAGGTTGATCCTGCCTAATACGGGTCATGTAACGGGCTCTCTCAAATGGACCCACTGCCTGTCATGGGCCAAGTCAGAGCGGTAGCCAATTTTGAGTTTGGAACTATCGTGCTCCACTTAACTCATTGACATCCTAATCTTTCATATTAAATGTGATTGACATACATTAATAAATAAACTTATAATGTGTACGAATTGGTTCAAATTTTGAAATTGTTTTCGATCAATGTTTAATATTATATTAAATTGTGCTATATATTATTTTTATCATACTTTATTTTTATAAAAATAATATTACTAAATGTATGACATGTATGATAACATTATACACAATGAAAAATAACAATATATTAGATTTTTATGATTCTCACATTATATCTTGTTTTATAAGAACCCAATATTAATGTTTATTATTTATACTGCATCACCTGACATTTATTTATTTCATTCACTAAATAGGATTTTCCATAAATTTATAAAATATTATTCCTCATTGAACTCTCCAAGACAATGTGAGTGGCTGATTTCCTCTAATATGTATGCTTTTTGATGATAAATAAAGATAATAAAAGGCAAAAACCCAATACGAATATTCTTATTTTTGTGCTATGCTTGTTTTATTTTCTCTTTTGTTGGAAAATAAAGTATCTGAAAAATTATTTATGAATAGTTTATATCTGAATAATAAAAATCTCTCAACGTATCCAACTGACCACGAACTATTTCACCTGACCGTATCTAAAATCTTGATTATATACCAAAANCTCAAAAATCAACGATGCCGGAGGAGACGGCGGCGATTGACTACGTCATGGAGGCGGCGTCCGGCGCTCACTTTACCGGACTCCGTCTCGACGGTCTTCTCTCTTCCTCTCCGCGCGCTTCCGGCGCTGTTACCCCCACAGCGTTTTCCCCACGCGTAGCTGACTCCGCCACGCTCAAGCAGCCTTTCGTGATCGGTAATTCAGCATTTTTCTCTAATTAGCTTTAAGCTAGAGTGTTTCTGATATTCTTTTGCTTTGTGTCTGCTTTGACAGTTTAGCTTATTCTTATTTTTCGATATATGGAGTTAGGGGTTTCGGGAGGGACGGCGTCTGGGAAGACGACAGTCTGTGATATGATTATACAGCAACTTCATGACCACCGTGTAGTGCTCGTCAATCAGGTTTTGATTGTGTCTGTGGTTTCATATTGGGTTTTTTGTATTTTATTTGTTTTGGGCAACTTCTTCAACAATTGTTTCGAAATTCAGTAATGGCAATGCTAGTAGCCAGCTTGGTAGAGGTACGGCTGGGCCAAAAAAAAAAAAAAGGAAAAGAAAAGAAAGCTCGAGTGCTCACTTGATGTTCGCACATGCATTATACTTTTTGTTCATTGCTTTTAAATTTTATACAAAATCGTGAAACATCCGTGGTGTTTTAACTTCAGGATTCTTTTTATCGTGGTCTGACTCCTGAAGAGTTGAAATGTGTGCATGAGTACAATTTTGATCATCCAGGTAAGCTAGTTCTGATTTGAAGGGTATTCTTCCTTATCTCATTCTGACTTGCTTTGGCAGTAGTTGGATACTGAGTAATTAACCAAAATTCTTTTTGATCAATTTGAAATTTACATTGCAGATGCCTTTGACACAGAGCAGCTTCTTGAGTGTGTCGAAAAGCTGAGGTGTGGCAAGTCTGTCCAAGTTCCAATTTATGACTTCAAAACACATCAAAGGAGTTCAGAAAGCTTCCGCCAGGTAAACCTTTTCATCAAGTCCAAATATTGTAAACTTCCAGGTACAAATCTTCAAGTCAAAGTACTGCAAACTTCCTGGAGGTCGCAAGCAGATTGCTTTATTTGCAGGTCCAGTTTGATGGGCCATCATTTCAATGTGGCTTTAGATAATATTATGGAAAACAGAATCTGCTCAATGCATCTGATTCAATTTCTTGAGTGATTTGTTGTAACTTCTGAAGACATTGATAGACTGTACTTCCAGGTGAACGCGTCTGATGTTATTATACTGGAGGGCATCCTTGTTTTTCATGATCAACGAGTTCGGAACCTGATGAACATGAAGATTTTTGTTGACTCTGGTGAACTTTGGTTTATCTTTTTGCTAGATCATTTTTTGAGTTGATATATGATATGAGTTAGGAAATGATGTGATCTCTTGTTGCTTTGGATTGACGGGCCCAGATGCTGATGTGAGGCTTGCCCGTAGAATAAGGCGTGATACAGTTGAGAGGAGTAGGGACATAAACTCAGTCCTCGAACAGGCAAATCTCTTGATTCATTATTATCTTCTAAGTTATTGATATTGTTTCATTTATTTCTTGCCCTGGAACATCTGGGAAATTGATTGAATTAAGTGGCCGAGTTGTCACATTTTATGCTGCTTAATACTTATTCGTGTGCCTATTTGATCTTATTCTTGTAATTGGCTCCATTATATGATTAATTAAGTGCCTCTTCTGCTTTAATCGTTGAACAACACTGTAGAATCCTATATAATTCTATCTCTATACATAGATTATTCGGATTTTCTTTTTTACATACTTTAATACATGTATTTACAGCTTTGCGCAACATCTTGCTCATGAATATTGTTCTTGGAATACAGTATGCAAAATTTGTGAAGCCTGCTTTTGAGGATTTTGTTCTGCCTTCAAAAAAATATGCTGATGTTATTATTCCCCGTGGAGGTGACAATCATGTTGCCATTGACTTGATTGTCCAACATATTCGCACCAAGCTTGGGCAGCATGATCTTTGTAAAATATATCCAAACGTGTACGTCATACAATCAACCTTCCAGGTAAGCCTTCTAACTTGTTCTTGTTTTAAGTTTTGATTCTATCTGGCATTGAATTTTGCAATCTTGTCTTGGAGGGACCATCATAAAAGTTCTCTCAATTTCGTTGGATTCTTTTCATTTTATTTGTTACTCCAAGTGTGGAGGGCTGATGGTGAAGAACGCTATTTTATCCTTAGATGCGAACCAGTGACTTATATTTTACAGATAAGAGGCATGCATACCCTGATTCGAGACCGAGACATATCAAAACATGATTTTGTATTTTACTCAGATCGGCTTATTCGTCTGGTAATCATAAAGTCTCTTAACCACCAAGAGTCAACCAGAAACAACAGTTCTGCAAACATAGAAAATATTTAAACTCTCAAATATGTAACATTTTCAGGTTGTGGAACATGGTCTTGGCCATTTACCTTTCACTGAGAAGCAAGTTGTTACTCCAACTGGTACTATAACATGTATTCTGGAATGAAATACACTAAAGCTACTTCATCTACTTTATATCTTATATGCATAGCTGGAATGTGTGTAGAAAGTTACCATTACCAATATATTTATCTTTTCAACACTTTGAATTCCTGATGCAGACTCAGTGTATACTGGTGTTGATTTTTGCAAGAAATTGTGTGGGGTGTCCATTGTTCGAAGGTAAGGGAATAATTTTAGGTCGATGCTGAAAAGCATCAATTTTACTGAAATGAGTTGTCCTTGAGAAGAGGTTGAGCTTGCAAATATATTCATTTGTTAACACCATAAGATATTTAAGCTGTGTCACATAGTGAAGCTAGTTCTTTTGTTTTCTCAACAGTGGTGAAAGCATGGAAAACGCACTACGTGCATGTTGCAAGGGGATCAAAATCGGGAAAATCTTGATCCACCGTGATGGTGACAATGGGAAGCAGGTTTACCTTTTGTTCCTTTATTTTGAGCCACTCATATTAATGGCGAATCTCAAAATTTCTCATCTAATTATCCTTTAAAATTTCTGATGACTGAATGAATAGCTTATATACGAAAAACTTCCCAAAGATATCTCTGAGCGCCATGTTCTCCTCCTTGACCCTGTTCTTGCAACAGGTAGATAAAGTCTGCTGATATTTCAACATTTCCACATTGGCATTCTGTTTTTGTCCAAACTTAAAACATCAGAATTTTTCCCCTCCAGGTAACTCTGCTAACCAGGCGATTGAGTTACTTATACGAAAAGGAGTTCCGGAATCTCACATTATATTCCTCAACCTCATATCGGTGAGGCATTAATTTCTGTATAATTCATTTAGTGTCTATGGTGGAATATGCTTAAATTTCTCCCTTTTTTTCCTTGTTTTTTCATCTTTTTCCCGATTTGTTGATTTATAGGCACCTGAGGGAATCCACTGCGTTTGCAAACGTTTCCCGTCCTTGAAAATTGTGACCTCAGAGATTGATGCAGCACTGAATGAAGAGTTCCGTGTTATACCGGGCATGGGAGAATTTGGAGATCGTTATTTTGGTACTGATGAGTAATAGATCTTTTATGGGGTTTGTTGCTTATTAGTTTGGCTGCTTTCAACTGTAAATCAAGTCAACATTCGGTTGTGACTGTCCTGCTGTTGCACAAAGATTGAGAACGTGGGCTTTCTACTTAATTTTGTCGACAACACAAAAGCCTCACTACTATTGTGTATAAATCATGAATATTGTGAACTTTTTGTTCAAAGCTCTTATATTGTGAAGTTGCACTGTGTGGTTGCTCTTGATTATAAGGACGAAATAAACAAACTGGTGAAGCCAATTTTGTCAATCCACAGATATAGGATGTACTTTGGATAAACGTTATATTTCAAGGCATTATTTTTTCATGGCAACAAAGATTATGCACTTCTTTCCTCGCTACTATGCCTAAGAATGCTGCAACTAAATCTGGACAAAGAATGAAAGTTCCACAATACTAAAAAATCTCAACACTAAACGTGACACAACTTCTGAAAATCCAAAAGTGTTGCAAGTGTACCATCAATGTCCCTTCTTGTTTCCTTTTGATTCCAGATGAGGAAAAACACTCAAAATGTTGTGTGCTATCAAGTCCTGCCTAGTCAGAATCCCCACCACCGGAAAAACCTGCCAAAAACAGCAAAGCCAACAAACAGTTCAGAAAATTCATATCAAATGAGTTTTTCACTCTCTCTCTCTCTCTTTTTTTTTTTTTTTCCAAAAATAAGATACAATCAAGAACACTACAACTCGAAAACAAGACACGCACGCAAGTCGGATCTTGAACTCACCCCTGCAGCCTGATATTTCGGCAAAATGAGCATATGCCGGAGCCCGACCTGCCTGAACAGCACCATCGCCTTAGCCACGGACATGCTCTCGACAACTGTGTACGGAGTCGTGTTTGTCAACGGGTGCAAATCCACATACATCTCCATCTCCTCCTTCCCCACCGCCACCTCATCAATCGTCATCCCCCTCTCCGCCAAGTCGATCGACGTGAACTTCTCCCTCACCTCCCACGCGTCCGTCCTCCGCCTCTCCCCCAAAAACCACTTCTTCTTCAGCACCAACACCAAGTGGGCCCGCAAAACCAGCCCGTGAAGCTCGTTCGCCCCGTTTCCCGTATCCACCACCGGGAACCCGTTGTGCGTCGTGTTCTTCAAAACCTCCACTATCCGCCCGACTTTTTCAACCCCGTTGAGGCTCACGACCGCCGGCTTCACGTCCACCAGCTCACCCACCGTGATATTCCTCATCCACGGCTCGGGATGCGCGTCCAAAAACGGCAACCCCTTGAGCTCCAAAATTATCTCGTATATGCTCGGGTTGAAGCAGTCGCCCACGGTTTTTGCGATCAATAGGACCAACATTGTTATGGGAAGCAACAAGAGGTTGTTGGTGAGTTCCAAGAAGATTACGCATAGGGAGACGGTCATGCGCATGGAGCCGGCCATGAGTGAGGCGGCCCCGAGGACGGCGTAAAGGCCTGGGTCGATCTTTGTGTATGGGCCCATGGCAAGGCCCAGAATGCGGCCGTAGGCTGAGCCCATGAGGATTATCGGGAGGAAGAGGCCCGAGGGGACGGCGATGCCGAAGGTGATGAGGCCGAGGATGCAATAAAGGGCGAAGAAGATTACGAGGGAAGGAAGGGAATATTGGGCGGGGGTTTGGATGGAGAATACGCTTCGCACGGCATCATCGTTGGTGGTGAGGAGGAGTGTGGCGAGGTCGTTGTAATGGGCCGGGGGGCAGTTGAAGCGCTTGAGGTGGCCCGAAGACGGGCAAGACGGGTCGGAGGGTGAGCAGGGTCGGCATTGGGCTAGGAAGGGGAGGCCGTATAAGCAAACGGAGGTGAATACGGAGACGCTTAGGCTGAGGAGGAGCTTGTGGATTTTTCCTTTCCTGCAAAAAGGAAAAAAAAAAAAAAAATGTGTTATGTAATACAAGTAAGAAACCAAAAGGCAGAACAATGACTCCCCAAATGCTTAGAGCATGTTTATTTACAAAATAATTCATTCACATTCAATTCATACTCAAAATCTAACTCAACTTTAACCCCAACACCACTATCTTCAATATTATCAATATAATTGAATAATACAAACCAATCATTCTTACACATGGCATTAACTTTAATTCACTGTTTATCCATTCACATAATTTTACCTATCACTCCACATCATTTCTCTCCTACTTTTACATTAAATCAACTTTACATATTTTTTTTAAATATTAAATTAATACAAAATCAAAATCTCACTAACAACTAACATCCAACGTTTTCAAAATAAACCTTGGTTAATCGAAAAAACTCATTTTGAGCGGATTTATTTGTAAACAAGCACGCACCTAGAGTATAGCCATATTAGAAGATTGTTTGTTTGTTTTTGTGCTTACTTGTTTATGACATTGTAGACCTTGAGCACCTTGTGGAGAGTGTAGTTATAGAGACTCCCCAAAATGCCACCGAGCACCCCAATCACGGCCACCGGGATTATATCCACTACATGGTACCTCACGGAGACCCCACTCACGTCGAACATAATCAGCCCACCTTTCCCAAACAGCCCGCAATCCCCCGACTTGCAATACTCCATCACCGCCCTCAAGACGACGACCACAACAGCCGTGCTGAAAAACGTGCGCCAGAGGAGGGCGCTCCTCCACCAGGTGGCCACCTCCTCCAGGGCGAATAGGACGCCGCCAACTGGCGCACGGAAGGCCGCGCAGACACCCGAAGAAGACCCGCACGTGATGAGGTCACGCCGATCCCTGTCGTTGTTGAAGTAGCGCAGCCACCGCCAGCGGATTCGGTGGCGGTCGGGCCCACCTTGGCCCAGAAGGGAAGCAATGCAACTGCCAATGTGGACAAGTGGGCCTTCCTTACCAAGGTCCAGGCCCGCTGACACGGCACCTATGCTGCCGATGATCTGTAAGTGTAACAATATTTTCACGTGTTAAAAACGGGTTATTTTTTTTTTATTCAACCATTCTAGGCGTTATTTGATCACTTTTATGGTATAAGCTACTCAATTTTTGGAAAAAAAAAATGGGGAGATGGTTGTATATGTAGTGTAGTGTATCTAAAGGAGAAAACGGGGCACCTTAACAATCAATGTTGTGGCGCCAAACATGTTTGGGGTGTCGACTCCGTTTAAATAAGCTTTGATTTCGGGAATTCCAGGGCCGGCTGCCGTTGGTGCGAAGCAAACGCACAGAACGGCAGCTACCAGAGTTAGAAGAAAATTTGCTCCGGCCATAAATACGAATCCCATTAGGTATCTGCAGAATTTCAGTCATCCAAGTCATGGATAAAAATCCCATTTTGTTTCTTATTATTGATCACAAAAGCAAAGTTCTTGTTGAATGTTTACGTTCGAAGCAAGTACTGATTCAGTTCGCGGCAAATGAAGTTGAAATAATTCAATAAACGCAGAAATATTGAAACAGCAACAAAAATAATTAAAGAAAACTGAGTGAATGGTGATGAGAAAGTACCTTTCTTGTTCAATATACTTAACCACTCCAAGAAGTTTGTACCCAGCAATATTTTCAATAGCAAGATTGATTAGAGTTGCTATTACTCCTGTTAGAAGTCCAACTAAGAATGCCAGAAACCATTTCAAGAAAATGTACTGCAACACTTGAACTCTTGATCTGCTCCTCCAATCGTGCTTAAACAAATCATTCTCATTGATCCTGGATCATAGTACAAAAGCTAAGGATCCGAAAGCCTGTCAAATCTTTCTTGAACTCGCGGTATAAAACCTTTACCGACTATTATATTTTCACCTTCAATTTACATCCAGTTGATGTTTTACAAAATAACAATAATAATAACGAGCAAAGCTGAGCTCGAGCTCTTGATAGTCGAACTCGGGCTTCATTTATCTATATTAACGAGCTGATATTGAGCCTTAACGAGCCAAACTATAAAAAATTACATAAAAAATCCTATTTTCGAGTATGAGCCCAGCAGAGCCCAGCCGAGCTCACAAATAACTCAGTTTCGTTTAACAACTCTAGTTCCAATCATCTATATCTTCATCTCAAATAAAATCCAGCCCAACTTAAAAAATTCAACTTTGTTCTCCCTTAAACTTTTCAGCACTACTTTCTCTAAAAAAACAGACTGAAAACAACAGATCACAAGCAATTAACTCCCTGAATCTTCATCCAATGCCAACAATTATAAAAACAGCCAGAAAACACAAAAGGCAGCTAGCTCTTACTCATAGTCCAAGCTCTCTATATGAGAAACCTTGGCTCCAACAATGGCAAGAGGGTTCGACGAAAGTGTCCTGTTCCTCTTGAGCAGAGGCTGATGGAGGTTGTTGGTCTCAGGGTCAAATTGGTCATCTTCCTCATCTGGTCTTTCCGTATTCGACACCTCTTGTTGTTCTACTAACTTGTGCAAATCCTCCATCTAAAAGCTTTGTCTGAGAAAGAGCAATTTGGCTCCACTGTTGTTGGAAATTATGTAAGAACAGCTGGTGGTGTTAGGCACTGCACAAAATTGTCTTCATGTAATTAAATTTTTCTTTTTGGTTGGGAAGGACTTTGTGTTTATATAGTGAGCGAAAGGTTGGGCATGACATGTTCCAAATATATGCTTGATTGACTGAGTGTATGTCAGGGACCTTGGGTACATGCATTTGAAAGATAGTAATATTGAATTTGCTATTGTAAAAATTTGTCAATGTAGTGACATGTTAATATGTTGGACAGGTTAATATGTTCACCATCTGGTAGATGAAAAATGTAAATGAAAAAAAATTATCTCGTTCAACCTAAAACGAATACAATCAGAAATTGCAACTTCGGCAAATTAATTATTCGCTATTATTAAGCATTTGTTCCATGTGGCATATGGGCTCGCGTGGCTCAACTTGTCATGGGATTTGAATCTGCCAGGACAGATAAGCACCAACACTGTCGTAAGACACGTGTAGAAATCGAGTTGATGGGCCGTGGTTTCGTTCAGATCCAACGGAGGACATAAAGCGACCCTCCAATTCCTCATGGGTTGCTTTTATCCAAATCTAAAACTCGTGGATGAACGAACTATTGTATTACGCCTCCTATTTTCCATTTTTTTCTTTATTTTGTAATGAGTTGGCCATGATTGGATAGTCAATCATCGTTATTTTAGTTAGTNTATACTTCGCGGCGTGGTTGGGCCCCCCACCAACACCTTTTTGGCAAAATTGTCAAGTTATTCCTTTTTACTTTGATAGTCGAACAGGGGTTTCACATGAAGGCCTGTACAAATGTGAAATGGCATCCATCCCATGTTCGAGGCCACCTTTGTTTATAAAAAGTTGTTAATTTAACTATTGACGTGGCATAATAGTGAGATCAACATATATTTGTACATATTTGGTGTACGCCTGCAATAATCATTTTAGATTAACATACGCTCACACGTGTGTAAGCGCAATATAACAATGAAATAATCATTTTAGATTAACACATGCTCACACGTGTGTAAACGCGATATAACAGTTCATACTTATTGTGAACATTAGAATCGAATTATCTATCAAAATTAATTCCTGACTTCAATTCTTGACCTTGTTTTAATATGTACGAAAGAAAATTAGATTATAGGTTATGATATAGGATAGGACCCATGATATCTCGACGGGCTGGTTAGAGTGGTTAGCTGGGAACAACTAGTTCGGGATAACTTCTAGCTCGACAGTAGGGTTTTATCCTGTTTATAAGGAGCTCGATATGACAGTTCGAAATACAGGTCACCTCTGGTCGTAGCTAATAAGTTGAGCTCATTCACGAGATCAGTCAAAGAGGGGGTTAACATGACCTGGAGGTCGTGTAGCGACCTAATAAAGAGTAGGGCAGCTGAATCATAAGGCCAATGTGGATTGGTAAGTGTATCTCGTTAAAGAATATAAAATCTCAGAGACATGTTATATTGCGAAACAAGATATGGGCATTTCTTAGTATTGTGGTTAATTACGTGGGTGAGAAGATAACATCTCTCTAAAAAGAGGTTATCAGGTTTACAACCTAACACATAATATATTATACATCCCAACAACTTTATAGAATTCAAGAACGAGATCTAACTTAAGCATAAGAAGTTTTTCTGATGGACCCCAGGTCACCCAAACACAGGTTAAAGGACGGTTCATGAGATTGTCGGTTTAAAACTCGGTTTGGGGCAATTTAGATATCAGGTTTGACCTATGTGTACCAAATATTAAAAGAAAGTTACAAATAGATTGAAGTATTTTCTCATTTTCAAATAAATAATAAGTAATATATTAAGACTAATTTATTTGTAAAAATCTAATATATTAGCTAAAATTTGAGTTTCACTATAAAACTATTTCAATGCTGTTGGGTGGATATGTTTATCATATTCCGAAACTATGTCAGATAAGCACATATAAGCACAGATAAGCAATATTCATATAAGCACAGATAAGCAATATTTGGCGACACATTTTCTAACTAAAATAGTATGTGTTCAGTTGTGACACTTGGATTGGTGAAAATACTAAAATAAAAACTGTAGCCTAGGCGAGTAGGCGTGAGCCCTACATTTGATATAGAAAAGTTGGAGTCATTATAAACGAATCGGGAATCATAAAAAACTAGTGAACTTTCCTCAAACCTTTTTTCTAAATTTTATTTTAAATATTTTTTCTTAAAATTTAATCATTTGATTATAATGGGAAAAAACGAAGAAATACAAATTATAAAAAAAATAATATGTTATTAAATACTTTTCTATACACAACATTCTTGGTTTGGTAAAAGTTTAAGTGTTTGATATTCTTTTATTAAATATTAGTCACTTTTACCGCAATAAATTCACATTTTAGATGCTCGCAAGACTTGTCAATCCGTTCACACTCTCTATCCCAACATGTCAAAGTGACATCTGCAGAAGCATCAGCGACTCTAAATTGAATCTTGTATCATTATAAATACGAAAAGCATGTCATAAAGTACCAAATAATATAATAATTATATAAAAATTATTTAATATTGCAAAAAAAATCTAACCATGCAGTACCATGTGTATGAATGCACTTGGTGCAATGCATCTCGCTATCTTCACTCTCCATTTTGTTATTACATCTTTTGCACACAAGTTCCACCAATTATCAATAATCGAGTTGATTGTGGGATAAACTCATGTGTCCATAGTCTTTAAATAATAACATTTAAATTTAAATCATAACAATAAAATATGTATAACATTTATATGGAATGATTTTATAAACTAAAATTGGAATACATTTTTGTATTATGGAATCAGATTTTAAAGAAATCATATAGGCGAGATTATTTAAATTTTGGCTTACTCAATTCAGTAAATACTTTAGGCGAAAAACCAAATGTTTTTTTACTGATTTTTAGTTACTATTTCCAGTAAATATCATTGTCTCTTCATATCAGTGTTTTAAATACCGTACCGGTGGCCATACGGGTCTAGCCACCGGTACGCGGTATTACCGGTAGGACCGGTAATATCGGTGGTATTACCGGATTAGCAAATATAATGATATATACATTTATATAAAAATGTATTGTACCAAATGCAAAAAAGTAAAAAAAATAAATGCCATAATCATTAATTTTAACTTACTAATGAGATAAAAATAAAATATTTTAACTACCAATTTAAATTTTATGTTTTTAAATTAATAATTTTATTTTTTAATTTTTTTTAAAAAAATTTATGACCGGGATTTTGGACCGGTTTTTTCCGGTATTTACGGTATGACCCCGGTACAAACTGATATAACCTTAAATCCGGTATTCTGTGTACAATTGTACCGTACCAATGACCGGTATTCGATATTACTGGCCGGTACGGTATGGTATTGACAACACTGCTTCATATATCGGTCTCCTGTCTTTTGAGTAGAATTTTTTGATGTTCAGGAGCTAAGACCATTCCAGAGCTCCTTTTCGCTCCAACCAACGTTGCTTGCACAATGGAAAGGGCCACAGGTTTATCTCTCCACCGAATCAAATTGGCCAAAGGTGTGCGTTCATGAGCCCATATCTCTTAATTCCTAATTCGAATTAATTAATGTTAAATAATAAAAATCGACTAAGATATTTCGGGAAATATATTCAACCAACCCCAATAATAGATAGTATTTTAACATATATATTTATTTTTTAATAGAAAAAATAATAATTTTGCATATTTTGGTTCATCATAATACTCAACTTTTATTTTATTTAAAAAATTATTGTCGTATAATGTCATTATTATTTATAATAATATAAATAATTTAAAAATATATAAGCAAACTTAATGTTTGTTAAGAATATATGATTCTATGTAAGTTACACTACAAAAAAATTGTCACATTCCAACATAAAATCCTATGAAAATATACTGCAACGGATATTTCAGTTGTATAGCTTCCGTTAGAATGATTCCAACGGAAATTCCAACAAAAATATTGCGTTGGAATGACTTTTCCAATGGAATTTGATGATTTCAACAGCTATTTTTCCAACTGTTTTTTAACATAGGAATTTCTATTGGAATATGCAATTTTCGTTGAAATTTTTATTTTTACCTCCGTTTGAAAATCTACTGTTAGAATCGTCAAAATCCAACGGAAATTCTAATAAAAAACTCATTCCAACGGAATATTTTTATTGGAATTCTCGTTGGAATTCCATTAAAATATACAAGTAAGCATCCCGTGCGATGCACAGGGGTTTGTACTTTAAAACTTTAATTTAACAATATATTAGCCCATTGATTCATTTATAGTAATATAAATAATATTTTAAAACATATATTTTTTTAATAAAAAATAATAATAATTTGTTTTTATTTGGTTCACCATAACATTCAAAAGTTATTTTATTATAAAAATTGTAGTCATATAATGTCATTATTATTTATAACACTTGTAAATATAGTATTGTTTCTTTTTAAATATAGTGATAAATATTTAATGTAAATTAACATTATTTAATGATGTAGTTAATTTTAAAATATTTAAATAAATTGAAAATAAATATTATGCCATGTGTACATACTATTAAATATTTAGAATTTATCCTAAAAAAACTCATGTATATATATATATATATATATATATATATATATATTATCTTATGAAAATATTAAATATATAAAAGAACAATACGGTACCGTCCCTAGTGTGAACGCAACGCTGCAACCAATTCAAGTGTGTGGGACGGTACCGTAATTAACCAATTCAAGTGTGAACGCAACGCTGTATGTTCAATACCTCGTCCTGCTTGAATTGGTTAGAATATGATAGATAATTCATGTAGCCGAGATTTTCTAAAACTCCTTATCTAACAAAATAATTTAAACAATCCGTATAAAATTTTGATTCTTTACTAACTGTAAAAGGTATTGTAGTTAGACAAATATATACACCCCAATTAGCGGTGTGATTTTTTGAAAAACTTTGAAAAAATTCATCTATTCTGTAAAAACTAAAATGAGTGTTGTAGTTTGGTAAAATTTCAACGATACACTACCGTGTGATTTTCCGAAAAAGTTAACAAAATTTCAAAAGATTGTGTAGCAGATATTTTCTAAAAATAATATGCATAGGATTGTGTAGTAGGATTTTCTAAAAAAATATGTATGAAGCCAAAAAAATATGAATAGTTTTATAGTATTATTGGTAAATCTTATGATATAAGATTTCTAATTAGAGTATTATTGAAGCTTATGATGAAAAGATTACCACAAAATATTGGTTTTGTTTTTTGTTTTTTGTTTTTTGTTTTTTTGTTTTTTTCAAAATCAATAACTATTGACGATTGTTAATGTATAAAAAGTAGTGGAAAAAATCTAAAACACGTTATGAAATCATAATTGACTCTCATTACCCTGTTGGGGTCTTAGATTACCCCGTTGGGGTCTTGTAATTTGTTCTCTTTGCACTTTTGTGCGTTTTATAGTACATCTATCGTTCCGGAAAAAAAAAAAAATCATAATTGACTTAATATAGATCGTAATTAATTATCTATGTGACCAACAATAATTTAATTATCATACACATGAAACAACTAATATACACATCCAAATAAATAATGTAAATAAAATAAATTACACTAATATATGGTAAATTATATCACATGTTAACCTCACATCTTTAATTTATAATAATTATTCAATATTACTTACTCACATCTTAAATTTATAACTATTAGTTAATATTTTTTATCTTTATCTTTAATTTATAATTATTATTTAATATTATTATTCGTGCAACGCACATACTACACACTAATTAATTATTTATCAGGTGCCCAAGCAGGGCGGTTATGCCGAAACCGTGTCTGCCACACAATGCCATTGTATTGACTGCAACACAAGGGGCTCACCAAAATTCACCTTGGAGACCTGATGTAAAGAAGAAGAAGAAGAAGAGAAAAAAAAAAAAAATACAAAGGGCTCACCAAACTCTCCATGGCCCACACTCATGGCGTTAGGATCAGAAAGTAAAATCGCAGTATATCCGACCTTCTTTCCGCTCTAATAATCCATTCTTATCGCCAATTTTATTCTCTTCTCCACTTCAAATGAGTCACTGAGTGCTCGCTCCTTCCAGGAAGAGAGTATATATGGGAACCATGCCGGCGGCCAGCTCTACGTGTCTCTCAAGATGGATTCAGTCTGTATCTAGATTTTATATTAAAAAAATACTTCGGGTAAATATTTTTAAATCTAATATAAGTTGTAAATATTAATTTTATATCATAAAATATCTTACATAAATAAATTGATTTTTTTGAAAGATTCCCCTATATTTATGAACAAACATATAGTCTATATATATACAGATTCAAATTGTTTTTTAAAAATTTCAAAAATTGTTTAGGCAGGATTTTTTGAAATTTTTCAAAAATATTACTATGTTTAGTAATTATATAGGCGGGAATTCTAATTATTTTTTGTTTGCGATTTTTGGATTTTTTAGATTGTCTCTTTCTATAATAATAGATGTGTGAATTATCCTCGAAGGTCGGCGGTGGACAATTTTGTTCCGGAATTATAGTTTGGACCAAAAATAATATAATAAAAAAATATAGTTGGGACAGAAAATAATATAATAGTAAAAAAAATATGGTGCTATAGTTATGTGATTTGGTTTATTTATATATTTTCATATAAACTTCTAAAATATGCAATAAATGTGTGTCATTTTTCATGTATATAGTTTTAACTTATTTAATGTAGTTCTAGCTAATGCACTAAAATTTGTGTTATATGGTATATCAAATTTACCTTTTTTATGTTATTTATTCGTTATATTAATTGGTTAACACACACAAACATATATGTATATATTTTGATTTACTTTATTAGTTAACTAGCGCGTGGCCCGTGCGATGCACGGGAAAACAATATTACGATTGTATTATAAATTAAATATATAAATAACATTAATCATGATTTATCCATTGTATTTAAATTAAACCGGGTTGGACATAGTCCGACCGAATTGACCGAGAACCGGTTTATAACCAGTCTAGTTCTCTTGAATAAAATATTGCTCTCGAATCCATCAACACCAATCGGTTGGACTGGTAGGATCGATACGATTTTCTAAATAAATTTTGTTATATTTAAAATTATTTTAAATAAAATTAAATATTTAAATAAAATAGCGATTTATAAATCATTTATCAATTAGTTTAAATATTTGAATTTATAAATTTTTTAGATATCTAAGTAACACATTTTATTTAAATTTATTACAAAAAGTACTATATATATGAAAATGCTTATAAATTAAAATCTGAACAAACCACAAATGATTTAATAAAATAGCTTGATCGTTTCGATGACGGTCCAGTTCTGAAAATCTTATATTTACTGTACATTAATAAATATTGTTTAATTCACATAGATATTAATAAAATGATATATAAATATTCATAAATCATTAGATATGTTGTCATAAAAGTATTGTTAATACGATTATTTAAAGTTTGGACTATATCACATTCACGTAATAAAATATTTTCAATATAAAACTTTTATTTAGGTTCAATAATCGATTTGGTGTGGTCGAACTGATACATAACTTCGTCACCTGGGATCAACCAAGTTGTGTCAATTTTTTTACTATTTTGAATATCACCTAAAAGTAATTCAATCAACCAGGCAGTACCCTAATTCAATCACCCAATTGATCCAATTTTTTTTATTTTCTTTAAATATATTTAATTTTATGAAATAAAAATATTTTATGATTTATATAATAAATGTCACACCAAATGATAGTATATTAAGATTTAAAATTATATATCTAAAGGTGAATTAATTATTTTACTTTATGCATATTAATAAAAAATAAACATAGTAAGTTTTAAAAAATTAAGATTAGTTGAATAATTATGCAATTTAAAGAACATTTTAGCGTTCAATATTTTTTTAAAGGCACAAATATAAAAACCAAGATTCTAAAACTTTTGTTATATTTTGAATTGAGATTTTATAAATATAGAGACCGAGATTTTAATGTTGTTTGTTGTTTCTAAGAAAAAAATAAAAATAAAAACATACACATTTAATAAATCTTAGCTAAATTTTTTAAATAATATGAACTAAAACTCGAAATTTAAGGCAGCATTTAATGTTGTATGATTTTTAAAGAAAAAAATAAGAAAAATAATAAAAGTTACTATTTATAGGCTGCATTAAATTCGGACCAATTTTTCTGCTACTATTTTTGGTAAATGTTAATTCTTATTATACATATAAAGATTTATTTAATAAATATATAACTTAGTTTTACTGGCATATTTTTTTTTTTTCAATCTATTCTTTGTTAGTATATAAGATCATGTCGAATTATTATTACAAGAAAAATATGTCTAACCTTTGACGATGTCAGGCGCCATATACATATAGACTCAGCATGTGTCAGTGTCACTCCCGCCGACCCACAAATCACAATCAACTTCCAAAGGCCGGTTTGTGAGTCCCACCTATCATTTTGAAATTATTCCTAATTTCATATATAACTCACAAAGTCTAATAATTAATTAATTTAATTTATTTTTCTTTCAGCAAAACATAAAAGCAAGGGAAACAGATGTAAGTGTGTAACATAAGTTCTCAATTTTCCTGTATGGAACTCGAAAAATACCATAGTTCATATGAAATAGCTGGGGAGAGGATCAGGTGCAGCCGACCGGGAAATACCGTCTCCGTACATCTCGTTCCACTGCATTACGTCCGCCACACTACTCGATCGACTCGACACACTCGCCATCATCTGCATTAATTATTACCAAAATACCCCCAATCAAATTCATCTCCAAGCATCACTGAAAAAAGATATGTGCTTAATGAATAGTAAAAACACAAGTTTGCGCCTGTGTGTGAGTGATGATACCTCAGCACGGGCACGTATGAAATCCTGCATGTTCATAGGTCGGAGTTCATCTTGCTTTCCCTCTACAGATTTGTTCTGTTAAAAAAACCAACATAAAAAAC